ACACTAATGAGTAAAGGACTTAAAGGTTTAACTGGTAAAATGAAGTGCATTAATACATTTAGAAAGGGATCTGCTGCAGCTAACAAAAGGATGTTCCATTTTAAGTAGGAGCTCAGCTTTTTTGTTACAGATGCAGATGAGAAGATCTTCCTTAAAATTAAAGCACTCTGTTTATAAAGAAATTTTTCCTAAGGACCTACAAGTGAATCTGTTTTCTTCATTAGGAGGTAGCTTTAAAGAATGTATTTCTTAAAAAGCATGGCATCTGTGGTCAAGCCAGCTTGGGGGTTTTTCTTAATTCTCTAATTGAAATTCCTGCATCAGCAGAGACAGTTCTGTGGCAGCTGCCTATTTGGGGCAGTAGTCAGCAAGTCAGAGGTTTCTGAGCATCTCTGTGACATCCTTGTTGTGCAGTTCATGTTCTGCCTCCTGTCTGGCAGAATCAGGTACTACGGACTTGGTTTCACTGTCCCAAGAACTGTAAGGAGTGTTGGCCTTTTTGGGAGAAGACCTCAAGCGTGACAAAACCCAAGCAGATAGTCACCAAAAATGGGTGACTTTCAGTGTTTGGTATGACCACCTTTGCTTGAAGATGAGTGACCGGTTTATGAGAAATGGCCTGCAAGTTGTGGCTGATTTTAAGTAGTTCTTTTTAGAAGGCACCTGGTGCATCCCACCTACCCCAGTGTAGGAAGGCCAGGACGTGGGTGCAGGTGCGTGTCAGAGTGAGGTGGGCTCAGAGACAGGACAGAGGCAGGTGGTGGCGATGTGGGCGTGTGCACGCACAGGTGGAGTTTGAAGGGGAGAGAGGGTGGGTGGAGGATGGGGATTGACAGGACAGGATGGGAGATGGACAGGGCAGGGCAAACCAGCTGCTCAGCAATGCTCTAGAGGAACGTGCATCTCAACATGGCTGTGTTATTTTTGTGCTGCTTTACCACAGCGTTAAGTAGCCAGAGTGTATCCCTGAATTGGGCAATAAAAGTTAAAATAAACAATTATTAAAGAATCAACATACTTTGTATTTGCAAATCATTTGAAAAACTTGCGAGGTAGCGTTCTCTGGGCTGCTTGCTTGTTGTTTGTGCATGAGTTTTTTCAGTGTAATAAAGGTACATTGTCTCTGTTTTGCAATGTTAAGATGGAATTAAGGTTAAGAATACATTCAGTTATTGCGGACAAAATATATGAAAGGTATGTTGTAAATATCCCCAAGCTAAGTATTATAAACCCAGGAAATACTCGGAATTAAGGTCAGATTTGAAAGAAATCCAAACAAATCAGGGTATGGAAATGTGCAGCTATTATAGCACATGGTGACACTGAAGCAAAATCAAAACTTACTTTGTGACAACACGATGATTTTGTCTGGTTACTAATGAGCAGAGTTGAAGTAATTCTTAGCACATTTCAGTACCTTTTTTTACTATAAGAAATTTTGGCTTTAAAACAAATGTAACATTTCTATGACATGCCTTAATTTTTGGAAGGAACTTTATACAGTTTTTTGTTTTTATTTTTTCCAGAGTTTGGTCTGTTAGAGGTTTAATGCTCCCATTTGGTCTTTGTGTTGTTCAGCAACAACCTTGTATCTCACCAGCATCCATGTCATACCAATTTAGGAGATTGGCAGCATGTATAAATTATAAAACATAAAGAAAGCACCATGAAAATGTGTAGCTAGTTGGAACATTGTAAGCTCTGGCTGTACAGGTGGGGTGCTTATGAACAGTATAAAAACCAAGCATGTATGTGGGCTTTGTAATTCCTACCATGCACCCGTTTCATCTGTGGAGTTCAGTTGCACAAAAATCATACTCTTTTTTTGGCCACAGTGAAAATTCGGTTTTTCAGAACTGGGATGAGAGTTTAGCTATTCTAGATTGGTTTTTTTAATCTTTTGTATGTGATTTTTGCTGGGCAATACTGTGCTTCTCTGAAAGAAGAAGATTGATGTCAGTGGAAAACATACAATTTTCCATAATTTTTACATGTTTTCTAAAATCCCTTAACTCATTTAAGTTCTATAATATTTGAGCCAGTTTAAACTGTGAATGCACACATGTGCACATGCTGTTGCGGTAAATAACTTCTTAATTTATTGTCCTGGCTGCATCCTCCAAACTCATTCAAGAAGCAGACCTGCCTGAGCACATTGCTTTTATGGTCCTCCTAATGAAATGTGAGTCGTACTTGGCTCAGATGCCCTGCCTTGAGACACATTTTTCCCCAGAGAGCTATAAAGTTTCTTCATTTGATGCGGTAGGATCTCTTTGCTGATGGAATTAGCATTGCTGCAGATTGCAAACCAGGGAGAATGCTCTTCCCTGTCTCCTCTCTGACATACTGTGGCAGAACACCTCCCTCCAGGCCCTGTGTCTGCACTGCCACCTGCCCCTCCTCTTTCACACCCTGAGCTTGTTTTTCAAAGACTGTTTTTTCCTTTCTTCCCCATCCTTTTACTTAATTTGCAGGAGGAGGGAGCTGGCCTGGAGCCATGTTAGGAATAATTAAGGTTACATTTATTCATTCGTGCATCTCATGGAGTGAATGTGAGCTGATGGGAATCTTTCACAAAAAACAATCAACATATCCTAACACCCTCTATTCTAGGATGCTTTTCTACAAATACCACCACTCACCCAAGGCGGGCCATGATGCTGATTGTTCCAGAGTCCTTGCTTGAGGTTCATTCTCCTTTTTTCATTTAAATAAATTTATACTGCTCCTCACTAGTGCTGTCAATCTCTTTGCCCTCAAGAAGTAGGTTTGCACTCCATCTGTGTAGGCAGAGCACTCACGCATTAATTGGTAAGAGCAGTTACAGTTTGGGGCTAAAAGGGATTTCAAAAGTTGTAGTTTTCTGATGACTCTGTAGGGATCTGAAGGACCTGTGTGTGTTTGTCCTACAGGATATACAGTCAGTCACAAGATCAGAAGCGAACAGTGATGCCCTTACATAAAAGACTACCTGTACTTACTGTGCCTTTTCTAAATTTGTTTGGATGTCATGATGGCTTCTGAAGATTCTTCCTGTAGGCACAAGATCACACAGCCTCTTAATGCAGAGACTTGTTCCCTTACATACTACAGTCTGTTTTAAAGGACCATCTCCCCTTTAAACAGTCATCTTGTTGACAGTTATTTACTTCTTTGGTAGGTATTTCCAAATAGGCAAGTGCCTGTCTGATGAGACTAGTTTTATTCAGACAAAACAAATTGTTCTTTGTTGACATAATCGATGTGTGTCAAATCTTTTTGTATAGTTTGTTATCACCCATCACTGTTTTCCCCATCTTGAAAGTTTTCTTTAGAACTGAAGCCACTTACTGGTGCCAGGGCAGAAGGTGTGCACAGTCTCTGACAGAGCTGCTCTGAAGCTGTGACCCTGCTGGTGGATACTTGGCTTTTCTGTACAGGTAAGCCAAAACCAGCCTAATCGTGCATCCAAGCCTATATAATATTGGAAAGATTTTGTGTATTGCTGAAGCATGAATAAAGTGTAAATCTTAAATCCCTCAATTGTGATCAAATTGCGATTGCTACTAAGAATACTGAAGAGAGAATAACTCCCGGTTTATTCCCCAGGATTGTTGGCTTGGAGCTCTCCATGCCACTGGAAATACTGACACTTTCACAGTATTTATTTTAAAAACATTTATTTGATTTTTGTCTACAGTTAAAAAGATATCTGTTAATAAAATTCAGTACAAGATTAGCAAGAGAGTTTTTTCTTCAAAGCGTAAGGCATAACCATCTAGTGTTTTATGTAAGTGTTAGACTTGAGAGGCTGGACTTCATTTGTATAAATTCTTCCCAACTGGAAGAATTTTTATTCCACGTTATTGACCAGTTTAGAAGGCAGATTTCATTTTGATAACCTGGTTTTTTAATTGAAAAGTCAATTAGCAAAAGATGTGTTCTTTTGCTATTTTTATTCTCTCAAAGAATAGAGAAGAAGACAGCGCTGTTTCCCAGTTGCTGTGTGTCTTCCATTAAGTTTTACTGGATTCTCCCAGATCCTTTAAAATAATTTTTTGAAATAGGATTTTTTTTCCCAGAACAGCTGTTTCCTCTTATATTTAAAAGAAATCCACAATCACTCAAGAGGCAGGAAGGTAGGAGGGAAGATGTAGGTGTGTTGAGACTTTTGAAAAGAAAAGAATCTGCCTTCTTAATAGTATAACTTTGGAAGAAATAAAATCATGATAATCCGAATGATTTTTCTTTTAAGAATCTCTTCTCTGTCACATACTCCCTACTTTCATGTTTATCTGGGTTTTTTGCAGTGTGATATTTGATTTTAAGTTTTCAGGAGTATCTGCCTTCACTTTTTGAACTCACAGTGAGAAACACTCCATCTCTATGCTGTGTTCTCCCATTGGCTCTACTGGCTGGTACAAGGTGGAACTATTTGCTGCTCATGCCTTATAGATATAAGTAGGTATGTATGCTTCTTTAAAAATGAGGCAAGAGTTGGCTCTAGAGTGTGAAATATTTGCCTCCCTGTAGCTTAATTATTGAAAAATATTCCATGTACCTGAGAGGAATGCATTGGAAGAGAAGTGTTTGATCTGTGAGCCCTTGTGATTTATCTCCACTAGCCTAGTCAGTCCCATCAGTTACATTCTGCCCTTTCTTCCAACCTATTCTGATTTCCCTTTGTATGAAATTTGCCATCACTCATAAATTTAGTGTCAGTTCATCTTCTGGTTTTGACCCAGTGGGCTGGTTCAGCTTGGAGCTCTTAAAACTGCACCATTTGCTGAATGGAGCAAATGACTTCCCAAGCATTTCATCGTTCTCCTCATGTCTTGCATCTAATTGCTCTGTTTATCAGCTGGTACTTCTTAGAGATACAGCAAGTTTTTATCTTGTTAATTACTGCAAGTGGAACTGAGGAGTCATTTTTGATTGTGCAATCCAGGCGCCTGAGGAAAATTCTTGCTGTCTTTTGTCAGATCACCTCTGCCCCAAAAATGGCTTTTCAACATCAGAACTGCATTAATAAAATGTTTATTTAGCACCTTTCAGGTTGAAGGATCCAAAAGCACTTTACAATTAACTACACACATCATCACTGAAATGCATCCAAGCAGAAAATCAGCAGACAACTCACTGCATACATTTCAAAAAGAACGGTCTTTTGGCCAGAAAGCAAAGTAGAGGCTCTAATGACCTGTCGCAAACAGGATTCTGATTTTGGTTTGGTTTTTGAAGGTCTCATCTGAAAAACCTACAAGGTAAAGCTGCATTCAACCCAATTTAGCCACCTCAGAAAAATGAAGATTTGCATCAGCCCTGCCAAGATTAGAATCTGTGGTGCCAGGGAGTCTGGCCTAATCCTAACCTGACATTTAGATGACTAAGACATCACCTCAAGGCAGAGAACATACCCAGAAAGTTCAAGTTACAAATATATAGTAACACAGTGCTGTTTTTTCATCCAGAATTCAGCTGTTTATACATAAACATCCCACATGTACAGTCTCTGCCTCTTTGCAAGCACCAGGCATTAATTGACAGACCTGTAACTTTTCCAGCTTTGGGGGAAGGGGAAATGTGACCTTCTGAGCTTGAGTAGCTACAATAATCTTTCCAGGTAAGTAGTAGAAGGCACTTGGCATGGCTGAACAAAGCACCTGGAAATTCTCTTATCAGGAATGATCCTCATTCCCTAGGAGGACAGAGGTTACCTGCAGTCTTTCCAGCTGTACTGTTGACAGTTCATAAGAAGTACAGGCCAAATAAATTTTGAGCAATGTCTCCTTTTCTACAGAAGTATTCTCAAATGCTGGAAATGTCTCGAACGTACACAGCCCAGTTCTTTCCTGTTGCAACTTGCCAGAAAAACCTGGGCATAAATGTGGTTTGTTACTCCTAACTACATCTCCTGACTGTAACATGGATTACGTTTTTCATTTCTTCAGCAAACAAAAATTATAAGGCTATTTTTATACAATTTGAAAGCACTTAATACAAAGTTACATTAATACACTGCATCATATGGCCTATCCATGGAGAAAATACTGAAATACTATCATAGGGCTGTTCAATACTAGTTTTTTTCTTTCAACTTTTTATCTTAATACTAGAAAATATATAAATCATTTACATGACTTTATGCAAAAGAAGGCACAGCCGGTTATAGTTTACACAAGCACAATGCATAATATGCAGGAAAAGGGATTAAAAAGAAGCTTCACATCCCTATTAGATACATTGTTGCAAAACATTAAGAAAAGTACTTCAACAACAGAAGTGTTCAACACTTGAGAGCTATGATATAAAAAAATTATAATTCATTTAATGCATAACAGATTTATATATACTTTTATATATAAACACTGTTGAAAAATGCTAACATAATAAAAGTAGATTATCCATGTAATGAAAAGTGCAAACCGAAGTAATAAAGGGTTTCACAATGTCCTTCTCATAACACAGGAAAAACTAGCCCATAGGAATGAAGTGTTAAATCCACCAGTACATCCTTGGCGCGATGAGGCATCATCAGGATTTCTGAGCGTTTGGAGAAAGCAGTACTGGTGAAGAGGCTCTGTCCAGACTGGGGAGTGGCACTGGTATGTGACCATTTAGCAGAGTTGGAAACTGTAAGAGGCCAAAAGGTAAAAATTACTCTTTATCTCAAAGCATTCAGCCCAGAAGCACATGGATTTAGCATTAGCAACTGGCTCCAGATGGTTTCAAGGCTTGTGATGTCTATACAGTAAGATATATATCCCAAATGCCTGCATCAGCCATTAGGAATGCAAAACAGAGGACAAAACATGACTAATTTGTAAATATATGGGGATATAGAAATCTATTATTGGCTATATTTTACATAAAAATTCACATAATACATTTATCATTGCCCTGGGAAAGTGAACACTGTAGAGAAATCTTTGCCATCCATTCTGTTTCCAAAAATGTTTTTCAGCCTACAGCCTATTAATTACAATACATCCTTTTTGTCTGCCCTTCTTTAACACTATGCAGGAAAGACCTTTGCAAAAGTGAAAGTCGAGATGTAAATTTAGGGCAGAAAAAGTACAATTGGGAATACAAAGCATGGGGAAAATTACTCTCAAGTAATTACAATTTCTCTCTGTATTCACTAAGAAACTACAGCTACACCAAATCATTCAGCATGTGAAGCAGAATAAATTATTTATATTAATCTGCTACTTCTGAAATACCATGCAAAAAATACTTATTCAATACAGAAGCTGTATATTCCTAGTTCTGTAACTTACCTGCAGTGATATTTATTGGCTAGTTCTTAACATCTGACCTGAGAAAAAGTAAAGCAAGTAGGTGGAATAAACTTGCTGCAGCATGAGGCGAGAATTATCCCAGTGGTAAATACTGATCTGGCCTCAAGGCCCAGCTCCATGAGCTTGAGAGAGGCAGAGCTGAACAAGAGAGCTCTCAGCTTCAAGCATCTGGTGCATTTTTACCTCTTAGAAGATCAGTCCTTCAACAGCCAACTCTGCTGTAATCACTCCCTACACATGCACATAATCTGCTCATAACAAGTTTACTCTTCCACTAAGATGTCAGTTAATGATACCTGTCTTCCACCATTCTGTTGAAAATCAGGCAGAGCAGCACAGGCTCAGCAGCATGTGCTGCAGAGGAGTGGTGGCACCATGCTCCTGGTGTGGCCAGGACTGCCTGATGCCTCTCTTTTAACCAAACCAAATTTCAGGAAATGTTTCCCTCACTTCTGCCAAGATTCATTAAAACACAGACCTTGATTACAAGCTCTTCCCTGCCTAGCTGCATGGAGTGTGGGCTGCCTTTGCAAGGAGTCTGAGGAGAGCTCTGCCTTGACACCCACACTGCTGACCCACCAGTTCTCAGTGGGGTTTGCTGGCCTTCAGGCTGTGGTTTTCATTTCCAGTTTGCTGTTAAATAAATCTTTGTGCTCTACAGCTTGTCATCGTGGCCTTTGACTGAATCAAACATCGTTTGTAAGGCCCTTGGGGTCTCTCAGAAGGGAAAGCCAAGGCCACTCCTCACTTTCAGTTCCCACAGGAGATGGCCAGTGTGTATCCATAGCTGTCCAAGCTCATTCCAGGCCTTGGCGCAGGCACTTCTCTCAGATGAACTGTCTGGTTGATTTAACCACGTGTGCAAAACTAAGGTCCAATACAAATTACTGAGCTTATCTGAAACACAAATAAGGAGCCCTGAGCTCCATGTGCAGCTGTCCCACTGGAGGCAGAAAGGCTTATTCCCCCAGTGCAGACTGTACCTGAGCAGAGCACTTGAGCTGAAGCCCAGCCTTGGATTCAGGCAGTCAGTTTCCCTGAAGGTTCAGAGACTAACACAGGGTCCCTGTCTAGCAGTATCTTCCTCCTCTGTAAGTGCTGGCCCTCCACAGCAGTCGAGGTGTTGATTCCAGGGGTGACCCTGCATTCTTCAGCTGCACAGATGGCCACTGGGTTCCTGTGCTTCTTGCCAATCAGCAGAACAGCATAATTTCTTCTGATTTAATGAATGGGCTGTTTTGCAGCAGCTACAGCTGGAACTGCTAATATCATCCCCACCATCTTCTTCCTAAGCCTCAGGCAGATGCTGCAGCTGAGTGCTGTGGCCATCATGGTTTACTCAATAACTTTTGAGATGTTTACTCTGCCAATACCCATGACAGAGTGGACACAAAGCTGCATTTCTGCTGTTACAGAGAGGTCATGCTCAGCAGTATGTCCTTGGTTGAGGACACATGGATAATTTGCAGAGGAACTGGAAATGGAGCCTTCAGGTTCAGAGTGCCCTTACTGTAAATACAAATATGTCTTTCTAGAGTGAGAAGTAGCTAATTAAGACAAGAGGATAAACCTACACCCACCTTACTGTGTGAGACCCAAACTGCTCTTGGTTTTCCCAGAGCTGTGTTCCACCCCTCTCCTGGCTGGTCCCGGACTGGTTTTCACTCTCTTCCAGAAGTTCTGAGAGCTCAGTTACCTTCTCTTGCTGGGGTCCAGCATTTATTTCTGTTTCCCTCACACAGCATGTGTGTGCTTGCTGCAGTGGACACTGCCCTGTAGGTTCTGACTGTGCCGCCAAGGATTTAAAGAAGGTACAGGTAAGTAGGCAGGCCTCTATAAGAAAGTCCCTGTTAACTCCTTTATTTTCTTAATCTGTTTGAAAAGCTCCAGACTGGTGTAAGGAGATGTCTCTTCCACATGTGCACCTTTAGCAATGAAACCTGCGCATTGGAAAGACCTACCTGGAAGAGAGTGTTTGGTCCCTGCAGCCTGGCAGGACTCAGAGGAGCAACAGGACTGAGGCTGCTCCAGAAATGAATGCTAGACAGCAGCGGGCTGGGGGTCAGCAATAATCCATTGGGGGTCTGCAAGACAAAAAAAGACCCCATGACACATGGCTCAGGAGTTACAGCTCCATCCAGCAGTCACCACCCCTACAATCTTACACATCACCTACTGGCTCTATTTCCCAGTTAATTCACACATACAGCATGGTCAGCAGCAGCTGCCCGTCCAGCCCTGCATCCTGTCTCGTCAATACTGGATACCCACACATTTAATAATCCTTCATATGCAAATTGATTTAATTTCTGTTTGCTTAAGGAGAAGCAGTTATTGTTTATGTGAACCACACTCATGCAGCTGTGTAGAATAATACCATGTATGCCCCAATGCCTGCCAACTCTGCCTAGGCTTTTTCAGAATCAGTCTTTACCTTCTGAAGGGCAGCAATTGCTTGACCTGACTGCAGCTTTTCAAGTATTAATGCAATCATGTGTGGAGCCAAAAGAGTCACTGCCAGCCTTTGAAGTTTACTCCCCTGATGGCGCCTTGTCATAATGGAAGAGGCTTCAAGAAAGTGGCAGTGCCCAAGCTGACACGGGGAGGGGCAAGGGTATGGGCTGGGTGCCCAGAGGGATGGCAGAGAGCACAGCTGATTGTCTGAAAAGACTCAAAACGGCAAGAACTAAGAATGCAAAGCTTTTCCCAACTCAGAGGTGTCTCATTCCAGTGCCATGGTGTCTAAGAATTGCTAGGAATGCATTCAGCATTTCTAAGCACAATTGGAGGGGAGGTAGAGTTAAAGCACGTGCAAATCTTGATTCAAATGAAGAATCACTCAAATTATATACAGAGTAACTTCTATCATTCCAAAATAGAACATGGAAGTGATGTGACAGTTTTGAAAAAGTATTTGGCGTAATGAGTTAATCTCACCAGTAATCTTGATGCCAATTATCGAAATCAGTCCTATTTACCAAAGCACTTAATGGATTTGAGTACACACTTAGCAAACAAGCATGTGCTTTGCTGTGTAGGACAAGTGCCTCAGTGCTCTGCTGAACTTGGACACCCATTTTTCCAGACTTTAAAATATGTACAGAGAAGATAGAAGATAGAGAGTACTTCCCATAGTAACCAGCACACCATGCATTCTGGTACCTGCTAGCTTCCCACCAGGACAGAAAAATAAACTCCCACATGTGGCAATTGCAACTGGGGTCACACTTAACAGCTGCTCACACCACGGACCATCACACCCCGTTACCAGGACTCTGCAGTGAGCAGGCTCACACAGGCAGCACCACAGGTCATGTGGATTTTCAAATATGACAGACGTTATTTGCATAGCAGCACCTGAGGGATCAGCTGTGGTGTTTGAGGCTCTGTGCAAACACACGGGAATACAGACCTGCTGTGACGTGTTTGCACTGGAATTCACAACAGGGTCAAACAATTAGTTTAACACTAGCAGAAGGGATAGACAAGGAACAGCAAACATTAAAGCCCTCCCAGTGATTCAGGTGTCTGAAAGGCAGTTTAATACAAAGGGATGGTTTCTCTAAGGAATCTCAGAAGAAGCAGGGTTTGTGGAGAAATGTGTGCAGGGAAAGGACACTGCCACCTTCCTTGTGCTGAAGAAGGTGGATCAGAAACACCAAATCCCATGGAAGAAACCACAGTTATGTCCCAGGGAGTAATAAACCTGTGGTATCACTGGGAAAGCAAAAGGTATTGATGCAGTAAATCAGCATGTGTAGTGCTCACAGGAGTACCAGTGAAGTCAGGGTTGGGATATATTTGCATGACAACAAAAGGGGCAAAGAGCAGGTGGAGGCCTGGAAAGGAGAAGACTTCCATCTTGATCTCACCAAGTGACAGCTCTTGTCAAGATAGCTGAAAAAACAACCTTGACAAGCAGGCACCTGTGAACAGCCCCCTTACAGTCGTTCTCTTCCCACGACTGTGGCGCTTTCATGGGGCAGGAAATCAGCAGCACCAGCAAGAACCCCTTTCCTGTGCTGTATTACAGGCTGGTGCTCCATTGGCAGGCAGCTATTGATGGAGATTTACGAGACTGACAACACACTGAATTAGGTCAGGATAAATACTCAGATCTACTTACAGAAGAGCCTACTAACCTTAAAACCAGAGATGTAAGCAGCAAAACCCATCAACATTCAACTAAGGACACAGTACTAAGAGCTCCAGTGAGCAGCCTTGGTTCTTTACTTTTGCTCTAAGAAACTGCAGATAACCAGAATTGAAAATGCTGTTCTTGAGAGGGTCTTTTGAAAATAATGAGGAAAAAGTTGGAGGTGTTTATTCCTACCTAGATACAACCAGAGAAGGTCTTCAGAGAGAGAGAGATTTGAAACTTAGTTGCCCTCGGTTCATCTCTGGAAGCATGCTAACATGCCTACCAGCAGTGCTAGCAAAAGCTCATGTCCTCTGATGAGGAGAGCACTAGTGTCTGCAAGTTCTGCCAGAGCCAAGAGCCAGCCAAAGCCAGCCTCCAAATCCGTTTAATATGTAATGCAACAAGAGCACAGAGCCTCCCAGGCTTGTTCTCAGTATCACCATCAGCCAATCATCAAAACCACCAGAGGAAACATAAGTGTAAACAACACCACAGGATAGGCTATCCCTAAATTACATGTGGAAATTGATGTGTCACTTCATTTTCTGCCCTCATGCAGCTGTACATCTGGTAGTAGATGTGGAACCCATTGGGAAGTTCCTACTTAAAAACGTCATTATAACCTAAGTATAGGAACAGTTTAAATAGAAATAATTCATTGCACAGAGAGGATTATGTTAAGTGACGATGCTCATGGCTCCTGACTTCTGACAAACAATGTGCGTAAGTACAATCTTGTCACTTTTAGCTGTTAGATCACAGACAAGTGCTGTCACACATACATTACTTCCCAGATCATTAGGCATGTGCTGGAGCCTGGGTGGTGTCTGTGGATACAAAACGGAGCTGGCTGCAGGCACACTACTTTGTCCCTAAGGAAATGGCATGTTGTAAATGTAACAAATGCTAAAGCAGAGGCCTGAAGAAAGAGTGTGAGTCAAAATTATATATCCACATTGGCCAAGGGAGAGACAACAAAAGTAATAAGTATAAATAATCTGCAAAAGAAGCAAGTGCTGAACAAAATCTAAGTATCTCTCTTTGAAGCTAACCGAATGGAAAGCTAACATTTCTCTACCAAAGTAAGGTACTGTATGCTCTGACACCCTCAAACCTATTTTTCTGTTCTGAAACTGATTGTGCTCACAGGGCTTCACCCTAGAGTATTCCTCAGGACTAGCAGGTGCAGTAGAAAGCCATCTGAAATACCCTCTCAGGCCACAGGACCTTCTCTGAACCTACCTTACTACTGGAGCAGACATCCTGTTCTGCACTTGCCCCATGGCAGCAAGTGTATCCCACTAGGATCTGATAAACCAGAGAATGTTTGAGATATGATGCATGTTCTTCCTTGGATAATGGGATGAACAGCAGATCCAGTCTAAATTATCCTTTAGTTATCTTGCATCATGGTGTTACAGTCATCATGGCCTAAGCAGCCATCCCGCTGAAGGAGCACCACAATCCTCTACCTAATTCCCTTCTACATCTTTCAGGGCAGTAAGTACACTAGTTCATAGATTAATGGGGAAATTGAATGTTTAAAAATATAATTACAAAATGAGGAAATAATTCTCTGTTCATACTGTGTTTGGGGACAGCAGTAGATTAAAGTGGGTTTGTAATAATTCATGCTGTCGTTGTGTCTGGTCGGCATCTGATATGATTTGTCAGATTTTCTCCCTACAGGCAGAAACTGTGGTTATACCACAGTTAGAGGTCATATGAGTTTGTCAATCACCTCAATTTTGGTTTGCCACACTTCTGTTCTTCCTGCCAAACGTAACTTCACTTAAAGGCTTTATGATGTCAAAAATTACAGGTGACAGCCTTTCTTGGTGACACAACTTTGTATCTTGGTGGTTTACAGGTGAGCCTGATCTGCACAAACTTGCTCTGCAGCCAGCTGAAAATAAGAGCAAGTGCTGTGCTGGCTGAGAGTACTTGCTGACACTCTCGCTTCTGCCAGGCCTTCCTGCCACGGGCACACGACGCTGCCTGCACCAAACACCTCCAACACCCCTGAGAGGTGTTGGGTAATGAGGTAATGGGATTCTGCATACAATGTGTCTCCTAGACAGCCTGAAGTGAGTGATGGCTTGTAACACACCTTTGTATTTATTTGCCGTTTGGTTTGTTACATTCAATGCTAGTATTTGCATCCTTATTTCAGGGCTGGGGATCTTAAGGAGTGTTCCTCAATTGGGATAATTTTACTCTTGGTATTTTTGTCTAATTTTGCAGTGGTACTGTAAGACAAAACTCACCAATGAATGCACTGAGTCATATCTATGTGATTTTCCTCTTCTGCTCTGAACTCCTAGATTTTTTTTTCATAGACTGGCATGAAAATGAGAACTCGCTCTTGACATTACCACAAATAAGTGATTAAAAAGAACAAACTAATCTTCTGGTTATTTAGTAGGTCTGTGCTGAAAAGCAGCTCTGGCAAGTACTCTGTTGATCTGCACAACTTTGTAAATCGAAACTGGTTTCAGAGCCTGTCTTAGAAACCACTTCATTTGCTCCGTATTCAAAAATTAACGAAAAGGTCACACTGTTTGAATGGATACAACATCTAGTACAGGAATCTAACCAAGCATCCCATAATGCACGTGCTCAAGTTGTGATCTACAAAACCCCTGTGGTTTTCTTTGTGGCTTTTTCCTGTTTGTTTTGTAGACCTGGAGGCTGGTTTGAACTGATAAACAATTCACTAACGGCTCCCCATCTCCTTACGCTTCAGGCAGTCTGTCAACTGTGATGGCTTTTCCCACACTCATGTAGGAACAAACCCCAGGAGGAACCTACTTTCCACCCCTTGTTCAGACCACTGCTGTGTTTCACTCTCTTTCCCATATGATTTTTTTTCCCATCAGATGATGACAGGCCAATAGAGCTAACACTCTTGGCTACTTGGAGTGAATGCTTGGAGACAAGCAGGTATTACCTGTGCAGTGAAGAAAGCTGGAGTCAGGGATCCCGAAGGAAGCGCAGGGCTGTTGAGGGCGATGGAACCGATGTCGGTGCTGGAGAGAACCATAGGTGGGGCAGAAATTTCCAAGCCTTTGGGTTTTTTAGCCTTTGGGGGAAGAGATGAAGATTTTGCCTTGGAGCCTGAGGAGAGGTTCAGAGGCTCAAGGGAATCTGAGTCGTGGCAACTGGACTCAAGGAAGAAGCTCCTGTGTTCTGTAGGGAGGGGTGAGGTGGGAGACAGAGAAGGCGATCTGGAGGAAGATGATGATGGAGATGAAATGCTGGCACTGTTGGGTAGCATTAAGGAAGATATTTTAGCTGATACTGAAGAGCTGAGGAAAGCAGAGGCAGCTGCTGTTTCAGAAGTAGAAGGCAATGACACCACAGGCCTTGTAACTTGTTTGTCTGTTTTGTTTGTCACAAATCTGATAACAGTCCGAACTTCTTCGACTGGTATGTTTCCTTCTGACTTCTCCTCCAGTTTTTCTGTTTTGATTGGCTTGTAAGGGTCTGGCTGGTTCTGCAGAGAGTTGATAGTGAAAGAGGAGTACAGGCCAGAGTGGATATATTCATTACGGCTTGTGCTTTTCAGTGCTGACAAGCTGTGCTTGTGCTGATCCCTGCTCTCAGAAGGCATATTACAGTCGCTGTCCTGCAGCAAAAGGCTCTCTCTGCTGATTTCCACAGCATGTGGATCCATTTTTAAAATCTCAGGAAAGGAGACAAACTTGTATACAAATTTTTGTCCGATCACTTTCTTGATGATGTTCTGCAAATACAAAAGAAGATGCTAGAAATATCAGCATTTCAGAGGCCCTCAGTATAGCAAACACAAGGGTAGGAGGGCACTGCTTCCTCATCAAGTTAAGCAGGTCATTCCTTGGGGCTCTTAATGCTGGTCACCTTTGGCTCATTCCAATACCTCTGCTCTGCCAGGGAGTCCACCCCCTGCTCCTCATGCGTCCAACAAAATCTCCATCACTAGGTGATAAAAACCCACTGGTGGTCTGTTTTACTTCTGCTTCCTCTGAAGCAGCTTGGGAATATTTTCTTTCCAGTAAAAGGAGTTCTGCTGCCTTGCAGACTTGAGCTATGCCACCATTTGCATTCCACAGCAAAGGCAAACTCCTTCACTTATGCCTCCCGGAACCGACACCAACCACCCTGAGTAAGAAGTACTCTCGGAATGTCCATAAGGGACAAAACCACCTTAAGCCTTCTGGCTCCAGTCATTTACCCTCTCTTCCTTACACCATGCAGAAGGATTGAACTAAACTGATGGTGACTGACCTTCTTTCAATGGTCTGTGAAAAATGCAAGCGCTTGCATGGGCTGGAAAAGTATTTGCATCCTGCTGTATCCCCGGCACTATCTCCAGGCTTGCATTAGGCTCGTGATGCTCACTGGTGCAGGCAGAAGGTTTTCATCAGTCTAAACTGACTATTGAAATTAATGATTGAAAAAAATCCCAAACCTCTCAAAGGTTTGTACAACTATTTCTTTTTCTGTAAGTGTCCCCTTTATGTAAATAACTGATTCCCTTTGAGATCTCATTTCCAGTCCTAGCTCTCCTCCTGCAAACCCAGGTATGCTGCCTGCTCTAACACAATGCTTGCTATCACCAAGGATATGTGAGCTCCTCCGCAGAGGCACTTTATGGCACCAGGCTGGGCCTAGGAAAGGGACTGGAACACTTCATTTACCACCCTAAGCCAAGTGCTGCAGAACACAAGAAGCAATATGTTCTGAGATTTCCATGCTAATTTCTCTCTTCTCGAAGCCCCTGGTGGAGAGTTTGTCTTTGAGTCACCTCTGAAAAACCCTTTCAAAAAATAAAAAAGAGGAAAAAAAAAAGGAATACAAACATCATCCCTTTTTATATAAGGACAGTACATAGTGCTGGGTGCTTGTAGTGCCTGCACTACACCTTGTTTTGTCACAAAAGCAAGGCTGATTTTGTGAAAGAAGAATCTGCACTTGGGTATCAGAACCTCTTCTGTCTTTCAGCTGAGCTACTGCACTCTGTAATTCATCTGTCCTGACTGTCCTGGCATTTCATTCAGGGCACCTTCTTGAATACAAAATTAATCCTACAAAGAGCCCTGAGATGTGGCTTTGCATCACAGGTCAGGAGCTGTGGCACAAATGGAAAAAGTTGTTTCCCAAGTTAATAACAGGGATCTGTAGCAAGGAGGAGAATTAAATTCAGCAAACTCAGACTAAAGGCACAAAACTGCCCTCTTCCATGCTGAATTGTACACATATCTACCCACCTGACAGATGCTGCAATGCCTTTTTTTTCCCCTTCAAAGGTTCAGGACAAATAGTTAGCCCACAGGATCTCAGTCTGCATGAGCTTCACTTCCCATGGCTTTGGGCTTGGCCTGAATTTTTTTTTCCTGCTAATTAGGTGAAACACTGGATGGGTGCACATTCTGTGCACTCTCAGTATTGCATTCTTTTTCAAAAAGGCAAAACCTCCAAACTACTCACATATGAAAGGAAACACCCCAACTGGATTTTTGTTTTCTTTTTCTAATATATGTATTTTAATTCAAAATAATACCTCCCCTCTGCTCCTGGCAGCTTTGAGTTACTTTTACATCAAGCACTGGCAACTGAGATCCTCCTTGGAAAATGTGACTCCCAGCAGAAAAAGAATAAATGTATTTAAGGATGGCACTTTTTCACTGATGCAGGCTTGAAATGGGGGAACATTGCTATAAAAAGCAACTGAACAGGCTGGTGAGTTTATACTTCCTTTGTTATTATTAAATGTAGTTATATTTTAAGAAGGTTGCAGTGTCTCTGACTCCACCAGCCTGCAGCAAAGACCCACTTAACGATGGCTGGAGATGAAAAGGATTCAAGTGCAGATCCCTCAAGCACTTTGCAGGCTTCTCTTAAATGTGTAGCCTGAGGAAATCTCCATCAGTGTGCAAGAGAAAAAAGGACACAAATTAATGAAGTGCCTCTGAAATGCCACTGACTTTCTTATATTTTTTTGACAAATAATTGAAGTGAAGGTAAAAAGCAGCTTATTTCTACCATCACCTCAGTGATCTGTCAGAATCATTCTGAACTGTGATGGTTCAAACCTCAAAAGACACTGACAGGCACCATGACAAGAAGGGGTTTTCCTCCCTCAGTTTGAAAGGGCAAAGAATGCTTCCTTGTATGAAGGACTGCATTTGCAGGAAGACTAGACACTTGCTTGGTAGCAGGAGAGTCAGTATATGTGCACACTTAGCCCCCTTTTCTGTCGTTGCTTGAATTTTCTAGGTAAATTCCCTCATGAGCAGGCTTGCAATGAGTGCTAGTGGCTGCCGGCCAGGGCTGCTGGGAGCTGGGGAAGGCTGGGGCCGTGCAGCTGGGGAGGAGAAATGGGCAACCACGCCAGGAGCAGGGGCTCCAGTCCAACAGCTTAAAAAAAAATCTTACCAAGAGACAGCGCTCTTGGACACTCAGAGAGAGGGCAGGGAGCAGGGAATACCCCTCTTCTGTTGACTTCTTGACTGTTCTTTACACTTCCTCTCCTCTGTCCCCAGTCTGCAAAACAGTGACTACAGGAAACATGACCATGCCACCCCATTGAAAAGTGCTTTGAAAGCTGGGTAGAGCCCTGCCCGATGTTTGCTCCAGCGCATCAGCCATGTTAGGGAGCTCAGGCTTATTCGCACCCCAGCATTTCAGGCACTTGCTTCATGAGCCCCTCCAAAGACACCCTCACCCAAGAGCTCTGAATCACCACCTGGACAAATAGGTCTCTCCCTGTCCTCCACAGAACAGCTGGCTGAGCTGGATGCCAAAGGCTCAGTGGCCTGGTTCACCCTGCAGCTTAAACCAGACTATACTGTGGCGGTATTTGTGTCAGCTATTCATATGCACTACTACTTTTGGAAGCCCTCCTGAAATCTATCATGTATTTGTGTTTTATTTTCATCAGCTCTGACTTCTATTCCCTGTTTGAGCCATTTAGAGCAAAGGCATAACTATACTACCAGAGTGACTGAAGGATGTTAGTGGCTTGGCTCAAAGCTCTTAGCTAGCAAGTTTGCTGGCAGGAGCCACTCAGGAAACTGAGCTGAGAAATGAGATCCACCTTCTAGTTGAAGTTCAGACTAATGAGGGGTCTCAGGAGCAGGAAGACCAGATTGGGACTTTTCTCTCCTCCTAGGAGGTGACATATAATCAGGGTGCCTGAGATCTCAAAATTTGTGGCAGAGTAGGATGAACTTGTCTGTAAGTACTAAACATCCCTGCTCAGGAAAGAAGAAAGACCACAGCTGTAGCTGCTGCTCATAACTCCCACTTGGATGTGTTGCAAGTTCCCTAGCTCCAAGGGTACCGAGGGATGCAACACGTGTAGGGACACTTAGGCTACAAATTCCTCACAAAACTCTGTCCAGGCTGCTTCCAGCTATTGGGATCCCTACCCAGAGAGAGGGCTGCTCAAACTCCAGCGTCTGAAGTGCATAAGCTGGCAGGAGGTACCTGTAGCTGCATGGTTTGTTCTGAAAGATGGGGGTGTGCCCATATCAGCATGTGCAGGCAGGCAGATTCTGCTAACATCACAGATTATGCAGTTATGCTTATTATACCATGTGTGTAGAAGCTGGATTTGTGAAATTTTTGATGGAGGCACAGGTGCTACTACACTGGGCACCTATACTGACCTTTGGAAGATCAAGACTCTCATTTAGCTGTATTTTGGTCTTTCCTCACCCACCACCAGAGAAGACAAAGGCCATTTCTCTGGCTGGCACCTTTGGCCAGGGTCTCTGCTCTCTCTACTGCTTTTCACTGGACGTCCCTTTCCTCTCACATCAAACATGAACAATTTTATGACTCTTTTCAAGGTAAGTGTTCTTGGTTTTTCTCCTCTACCCATCACCTCTTACTGAGTATCAAATTCTTTACTCTTTACTCCCATCTCTCCATACAGCACAATATAACCACCTTTATGCCATTTCAGTCAAGCACTTTCTTGACTTCCACACATCACTCTCAAAAGAAGCTCCTTCCAGTTTTCCACAAAGGTATTTTCTAATGCTCCTTCAAGTATTTCCTCGTAACACCTCTGACTTGTGCCAATACAAAAGGAATAGCCAGCACTCTAGCACCATCACACTGCTATTGTTTCTTTGCAGGATTCTATTTCCCCTGCGTTATCTTAAAAGAAAACCTTGCCAAAAGCAAAATAATAGTTTCCATTATCACTGTATATCCTGAAGTTCTGTAAGCAGACAAGAAAAGGACCCTCTTCCCCAAAACAAGTCTTCCATGCTACCACACACACTTGAGCATTAAAAATAGGAACTAGTAACCAGGATACTGGGTTTGACCTGTTATAGGAGGGGAGCGAATGTGCTGGACACCCCTGAATCTTGAGGGCACCCGAGCAGCTCTGTTCGCTGCACCATCATGAAGCAGCCATATTATTTATATACAATACATCATACTGCCAATCCATCTAAACAAGTGGGCAGCCATTAACTGAAACTAAAACTGAAACAGACTGAATAGCACTCACTGAGTAAAGCCTGGGGCCACATACTGTTCAGAGAGGATGCAAAATTATTGAATAGCTGCTCATCACAACAGTATGTGGCTGTGTAATTAAAGATGCAGCATAACTCATGCAAACATTAAGGTTACCCAGGGAACTGTGATTCTTGTATTTCCTAACTTCTGAGGGCTTGACTTCCATAACTGCTACATCCTATTAAAGTCGGTATCTGCATGTAATTTCCTGGATTTGCCCTCCTTCCCTCAATAAAAAACCCTCATGGGAAAAACTCACTAGGTTCCCTCTTGTGTTCTCATCTTGAAATATTCATGGGGACTTTTAGTAGCCCTGAAGCCCTTAGAGACTTCCAAAAGATATCTGCCATTATAGCTATCAGAAAAACAAAGTAACTGGGCAACTTGAACAAAAAGAAATTTACTAACCCTATTTATAAAAGTATTTTACTCTACATATCAAACTAAAGTGCTCTGTGTGGGAATGGCGTCGAAAGGTTTTGTTCCCTAAAAGCATCAAAAGGGATTTCTAAGCAGCAGAAGTGTGTGATGTGATGGACACAAGCTGTAGGTAGAGGAAGTGCAGGAGGCCAGCACTATCTGTCATCTGTTCTGCTGTTCTGTTGAAGCAACAGGGGAAATGCATTAAATAGAAATAAGGGGGGGGCAGAATTTGGGTAACAAATGAAACAGGAAATGGAATCTCCAGATTATCTACAAACCTTTAGCAACCATAATCATGGAAGCAAATTACAATCAAGACATGCCATACTCTACATTTCCTGGGGTGCTTTTTATGTGAATTTAGCATAAATCTAGCCATCAGCCTCAACAGCATGTCATGCTTGTTTTCAAAGCCAGGCTAAGGAACTTGTCCCAGTTGTGTTATTTTTCTCCAGTACTGGAATTAATTTACTTTTAAGTTCAGATGAATCAGATGATGAATTTTAACAAGCCAGTGTTCCCCCCAAGCAAAATGCAGAGCTCATAAACCCCCACTTATCCAGTAATCAGTTTTTATTTCTCCATGGTGAATAATTCCAAAGACAGACCATGAAGCATTATCTCAGTGTCAGCTGTATGCAGTAGGAGGAGAGGGCAGTCAAGAAGGAAAGGTCCAGCCCATGTGCCTTGGATGGACAGCTTGTGTCCATCGTTTCTAAAAAATCACTGCCCTTTGTCTCAAACTCACATGCTGCCAGATCACTTGGGTTATAGGTAAAGAAGTCCCTGTCGATAATTCCACAAGGCAAACCAAGTCTTGTCCAGAGTTCTGCCTCCTGTCTTTCCTGCTGCCACTCCCTTGTCTGCAACACGTTTATCCCATTTGCTCAGTGTGCAAACCATTTGCTCCAGCACATCCAGCTGCCAACATATCCATCACTGCCAACAGCTAAGAAGGAAACAAAGATCTCAGAAGGCTCCTTAAAGCTACCTCAGAGTCTAGACTGCTCTTGGTTTATCCCACAAATTGGTGAATGGTCCTGGGGAGAAGAGCACAGACATCTGAGAGGCTCTTTCATCTCACCAGCCCTTCCGCTTTTGTTGCAGAGGGGAAAAAAGAATGTCAAGGAGCCTTTCCTTCCCTTCACAACTTCTTCCCTTCTGTGCTATGCAGTGTAGACTGAACTGAAGGCAGAGGAAGTGTTTAGGACTGAACCCACTGCTGAGCACTCACTCGCTGCCAGTCTACTAGGATTCATTACTATCTTATGCCAGTATCTCTCACACTTCAAAACCCACAGAAGTTGCCCTGTCCCTTGGCACTCTCCCAGTAATCCACCTTTTTCTACTGTCTGGGAACCTACAGGACACAACACGCTATATCCACACAGAGAGTGAGAAGCACCCATTGTTTTCAACTAAAGGAGTTACTCCTTCAGTTTGAATAGCAATAGCCATAGGTTTGGTTTGGGGTTCAAACCCTGATCACAACACATCTAGGAGCTAGGACCTCCATTGGGCTGCAGAACTCCTGGAAAAATGGCCAAAATCCTTGTGCCACACTTAGATAAAACTGTCAGACAGAAGAGAGTGCACAATCCAAGAAAGCAGCTGTAGGAACAGCAAGCAATTGCCTCAGCCACAGCCCTGATGAAGAAACTGTACAGCCACTGTGGCAGATGCTGCATGAGCAGAGACAAAACAGATGACAAAGGTATATGTGTGCTGGGAGGGGGGAACTGAAAACAGAAGAGGGGTTAAGGAAAAAGTTAAAGCTTAAAAGAAGCAAGGGAATCTCCAGTAAGGAGCCATTATATTCCATTAATTCGAAGAGATCAGAGAGACCTCAAAGGACAAGTGCTACAAATATCTGGTCCTTTGTTTTAAAGCAATGTCTGTTCAATCAGTAACTGCGTATTTGGGCTCTGCCTGGCTATGCTGTTCATGCACCAGCAGGCACTCTGTCTCCATTGATCCCAGTCAAGTTTATAATCAGAGGGGTTGGAGCAATATAATGAAGTGAGCTTCCCCATGCTGAGCAGAAGCCTTTTTAGCACTTAGTGAAGGAGAATTCATCATACCAACTGCTCAGAACAGCCACTGCACTGTCCTCGCTGAATCCCTTTGTGCCTCCTCAGTCAGGCCACCTTTGAAACACGCTAAGTGGAAAAATCTGACTTCTAGTGGACAAAACACTAACAGCTCTAAATCTGAAACTAAAAAAGGAGTCCTTGTGAGTAATGAAAAGTCTGATCATCAAATTGTTCATAGTTAATTTGCAGTCAACATGATTTTGGTTGCTGTGTTTGACTGCATAACACCCAGCCCAACTGTGCCCTTCAAGAATTAGTGCACTACAAATAATGCATGACAACAGTACTCTGAGCTCAGTCCAGAAACAATATCTAGTTTCCTCTGCCTTGTGCAGGCAGCAAGCATGCCATAACTGTGCTGAACACTGGTGTTACTCACTGCGTAATCTCACATCACCACCTTTTCTGAAAATCAAGATGAGAACAGACCACTAAGCATGGCTATAAAGTTTTCCTTTTTAGTATACAAAATCTGTAAAAGTCTTTCTTTTTAATATTTAATCTACAAGAATATAGGAAATAGTAAAACCTAGTAATTTAGAATTTAGATATATTTTAAAAAATATCCATTTAAGGGGAACTAATCCTGAAAAAATTAATATTGGTAAGTAAAAGCAATATAATGTTCATCCAAAAAAGGCTAGAGAAACAGTTTGGAAACTCCTTGAATTTACTGGAGTCTAAAATTGAGAAAGGTGAATATGCAAGATTTGCGTTCTACAAGATTTGTGTACCTGTGTTCTATAATTTTTTCCTTCTAGTATCTTGACATATCTGAGAGATTCCCTTTCAATATCTGTTACAGCAATCTAATACATATCCTGGCTACTCCCTGTTCTCATTTTTGCATTCTCTGTTGTACTGTCATCACCTTGCTTCATGCTCAAGAATAAGACCAAGGACTAAATGTCAAAGTGAAGGAGAGTGGCAGTGATCTTATGAACCCCACTATACTGCAGAAATTTTATTTGCAGAGGTGCTAGCTACCAGCAACCTCTATTGACCTCTTCTAAATTGTGGGCATTCTCATGATGTCTGATATTCAGAAGCAAATAGAACAATCTAACTAATTCCAGATTACTATGTTCATATGTTATTATTTCAGATTACAGTTTTAAATAAAGAAGTTGAAAATGGAGCTGCCAATAGCTAACAGCTCTGCACTAAGTGCATGCCTATCTATCTACCTGTAACCAGCTTCCAAGAGTGCACAAAAAACCCACAGCTTGCCAGTTAGTTAAGGTCTTACTAGTTCTATCAAACCCCAACAGATGTATCTGTGGAGGAGGGCCAAAATCCATTAGATTTAGCAAGGGAGAAAAATTGGATGAAGAAACCCCTATCAAAGCATGTTTCACTATTTTAACTTGAGATATCTGGAAGATAAGTTCTGAAGTGAGAGTAAATTTAACATTCTACAGCAAGTAGAGTCTTCAGCTGAGATGAGCTCAGCATGAGACTACTACCTTGAGAAACAAACCCAAACATATCACTGCTCTGACACCCGCCATCTCACCAGCCACCTTTCCCTGCTTGCTACTCTAATTCTGCACCTTCATCCAGTAAGACATCACATTAGTGCTCTTTCATATATATTGCTGCTAATTAAATGACAGAAACATGTAATTTAGACTAGTGTTGAAGCTAAGTCAGATTTTGTCCTAAAGTAATGTAGCAGAATATTTGCAAACTCCTAGAAACACCAAGCATTACCAGAGGAATAGTTACAATGAAATCCTGCTGAGGAAATACTGCACTGTCACAACTGTAGAAGTGTTTCAGCACTGTATTTCCAGCTAATACAATTGCAGTAAAGATATACCAAAAAGCTCAGGCAAGACTAGCTAAAGCACTGGTCAGCAGGTTCTATGGTCCAAAAAATGTGTCCCATGAAAAGGCAACCCCACCCTCTATGCTGTTGGGTTGTTTGGTTTTTTCCTTGTTTCTGACTCAGGCAATACTTGCTAGTAAAGCTGCCGTTTTGCCTGCTGCATTGCAGAATTCCTGCTTTCTACCATTCCAGAAGATCTTATGCAGGCTCTAATAATCAAGCAGTTCTCTGTTATCAACAGTTATTTTATTGTTGTCAAAAGCTACAGAAAATATTGGGCAGCCAAATGCACAGACACATAAAAGCATCAGTAAGTGTAAACCCAGGTCAAAACTCCCCTCCTCAGGAAACAGGATGTACAGTGTTTTCCTGTGCATCTTTTAACCTCTTATCTCCACTGTGATCACATTCAATACTGTTGTCTGTTGTAAAGACTAGTTAGAGGAACTTCTGAATAGCTTCCACCGAGAGGAGAAATATTAACTGGTAGTGTTTCAATTTTCTTAGTTTGCATGAGAATAACAAAATTTACCTTGTCATAATAGTATCTGAGCGCTCGGCTCAGCTTGTCATAATTCATATTAGTTTTGTTTTTTCTGAGTCCCCACAGCTTAGCCACTTCTTCTGCCTTGAGTAGCTTGAATTCGCCATCATTAGACGTCCAGCAAATCAGGTGCTCATGTTTCTGGTCTAGCAGCAACTGCAAAAGGAACTGCCACAGTGTGATTGCACTCTCCATACCTACAAAGGACAAAGGAGAGCAACAGTGTGAAAAACATCTGGGAGCAAGTGTTCACCCAACACTCGTTTCAGTAATAAGCTCTGTGTAGGAGTCATCCTAGCTAATTGAGAAAAGGGAAGCTACTATATAATTTACAACCAAACATCCACAAAACCTACAGGTCTTCCACTCCTCTTTCAGTATTTTTTCCCACTGCTATTTTCAGAAGCAACACATAAAATAGAGGAAGTATTTAGAAAAGCACTGCCCACATAGTTCATGTGGTACAAGGTCATCTCCAGTTGGTGTCTTCCATTCAATGTATGCAATCACACTTCAAAGGAACATATGGGAGAAGGAGAAAGACTTGATGTAACTATCCACTGAAATGGGACTGAAAACCTGCTCTTTACTGTCATGGGCAGTATACTGAACTTGTTCAGGTATGTCACTGTGAAAAAGGGCCAGACGAGGGAAGACCAGAGCAGTTGCCTTTGATTAGAGGACCAGAAACCACACTCATTCCCCCCTCCCACCACACACACTTGTCTTCCCAGTATCATATAGCCTTTGCCTATTTTGTTTTTTCCAGGGCCTGAAATTACTCTTGCTGCTTCTGTTTGCCAATTCAAATAGCTCAAAAGATATTCTTTATTTGTCAGGAATGCTGAAAGTTCAGTACCCTTAAGCGCAGTAAAATAAGTGATATTTACCCTGAACCTCTCTCTAACAGGGACCTTTTATTATCATAGGTACCACTGAGAACTATATTGGAGGAATATTTTTAACAGTGCCTGAGTCTCACGTCTAAGGTTGTTTGAATATTTTTTTTCTCTGCTAACTGCCTGTGCTACTGAGCCCTTCCTAGAATAAACCTTTTGTTCAGGTACTGCAATAGAAGGATAAACTGAAGACTAGCTATATTCAAACTCAGCACGGGCATATACACAACTTAAAATCTGGGATCGTTATCACTGATAACAATTTATCATTTTAATGAAGATGCAGCTAAAACTGACCTTTTAAACTAGAGAAATAAAAAAATAAATTTTCACCCACTTTCAACACTCCTAACCTTTGCATGTTAACATTGGATCAAATAATTTTTTCTTGGCTTCTTCTGATTCTTAATTTGGACATGTTATGTTGCACAGATTTATTGCTGGTATTGCTGGGTTGACTATGGTGCTAATGGGGCTAATTATTACCTAACCTACCTCTCTGCATGTAACAATGGATATTTTTGTTTTTATCTAGACAAGCTCACGATTTTTGCTTATTTTGTTTACCAATACATTATTGTTTGTGCCCTAACAGATGACATGGACAGGATGCCAGGCTTGCTGCCTGACGCTTCCCTGGATGTGAGGACCACAAGAGGGCACAAGACTTCCAACTATCTACCATGGGGAACAAAACAGCAGGCGGCTGCAGGAACAGCTGCTTCTCCAGGTCTGCCCCAGCACAAAGGAAATCACGGTGCATAAGGTTCACTAGTATAAAGAAACATAAACTACATAAACTTCACTAGTGTAAAACAAGTTGATGATACTAAAGAACGCTGTCAATAGTTTTACAGAAAAACAGGATTTGGAGCTGTGTTTTGGTCCAAATAATTACTAACTACACTGGCCAAACAAGGGTTTGCAAAATTAATGATGGTTTTACTATCCCTGCAAAATCCTCAGTTCCCTAATTAACTGAGAATCCCGCCTGCATGACAAGGACAAAAACACCTATTCCTGATGCCCAGCTGTATGACAGAGTAACTACACAGCACCTCCAAGGGTCATTAGAGGACTCCCAGGACTGTTAGGGATCCTTGAAACAGAACTGCCTATATGGATGGTTTGGCACTTTCAAAGGTTTGCATTTGCTTCACTGCAATTCTATTCAAATATAATACAAATTATACAAATTTCATACAAATTCTTTTCCGCATAGTGTAAGGCAAGAAAAAAAAAGTATAGCTAGAATTAAATATATCTGAAAATTACTCACTTTACAGTCTTTAAAAGTTCCTTTAAACTATACCATCTGAGCAAGTATTAACCTCTTTCGCAGATGATTTATCTATAACTTCACAGATAATAAAGTGTCCCTATACACAGATACACATCATATATACTTTCTAATTAATATTTATAAATTTTGCAATTTACTTTGCTAAAAAAGTGTAGTTATATACAACCATATTCCTTCAAAATAATCCTAGTTTCTGTATATCATGTATTATGCAGTGATACCCTGCACAATCTCAGCTTGTATCATACCACACTTCCAAACAAGAAATCACAAACGGAACTTTTTTTGCCCTGGAAAATCATTAGTAACTTATAAATATCTTTCTTCAAAATTTCATTAAATTGTGTACAGGTGTTCCATGCTACAAAGACCTGCCAGTAGAATTTCAGCTGAGGAAAATAAAGATGGAAGAGAATTATAGAAGCACCAATACAAACTTCAGCACTATATCATTAACCAAAACAGTATAATGCCTCAGAGACACAACTCTCTCATCCAGATCTTAAACTACACCTTCCTTCAAATGATCAGCAATTGTGGCTCTTGAGAGAGTTTAGGTGGAACTGAACTCAAAGGGAAGAGCATTTTGCTGCAGCCTCTTCCATCCTCTGCCTAAGTTCACCTCTGCCTAAGAACACTCATAGGGTAACTACAGATAACTTTGTACTACACTTTCTATTACGAGCCTTCTTTTTTGATGCTTATCATTTGTTAAATGTAAACAGTTTGGGATTCGATTTTATCTACTGAACATGGGCCTCAAGGTGACTCAGCCATAGGCATAATGTAAAATGCATGAACAGCACAAGCCTGGGCGAGAGCATCCTACTGGACTACTCACACCACAAATCACGTCCTGGTGAGTAAGGAGATGTGACTTCCATCAGGTTATTACATAAAAGGTTACTGCCGCCTTTTTCACAGTGGTTCATTTCTTCAGCCATCTGAGATGCACACATAATCTCTGGGGGTCACTTCAGGTGCTGGATCAAGGGCAGATGGCTGTGGTGGGATTAGATTTAGGCAGCTCCTCACCACCCTGCTTGCCTTACCATCAACTCTCCCAAGTGAATGGCTCTGAATGGGCTTTATAAAGGACTTGTGTACCTCTGAATTCAGCATCGATGTGCTTAGTTGGTATATGCATAAATCTTCTACTGGGTATGACCTAAGTCTGCCCCTACAGAAATGAGATTAAAACAGCTCAGTGCCGCATTGTGCTTCATCCCTCCATCTGCCACCGAGTTCCTGCATAAAGCTTCCCATATTGCTGGTATAGCAACTATATGTATGATTCCTACATGAGGCAAATCATGCTAATTACATTTTCAGCTGATTATTAATTGTATGGTCCTTCTCTTCTAAGCACCAAACTTGAGGTGTTCAGGTCTGAGTTGCACTGAATATTCACAGCTGCAAATTTAACACAAGCCTTGTGTTAACCATATATGGTGAAGTAAAACCTCAAATTCCTTAAATTCTGTAAACTGGTGTTAATCTTTGCATCTCATTTCCATTCTGTAAAATGTGATTTGCAGGGGAATAGTTATAGCAGGATGCTCTGCCTGGAATGGGGTAAAACAAATAGAACAATGCCCTGTTTGCAAATCTGTTAGTGGTGAATGGAGAGGGGTGCTTCATGCTGCTTTTGGTGTTGAATAATGCTGAAACCAGACAACTTACCTAAAGCTGCTGAGATGACACGGCTGGCCTGGAGACATCTGATCACTTTGTACTATAAAAGTCCAGTCATACCTTTTAAGAGTAGGGTTTTCCTTCTTGGAGTGTGTGTCTCTTGAGTGGGGATGCCCCTCAAGGTTACTCCTTGAGGCAGAGCAAAAGAGAATTGCCCACAATTGTTGGTATGAGTGAGTAACTTAATAATTGGTTTTTGCCAGCTTTAATATAATCGCTTCAATATTGCTTCAAAATAGTGCACTATACTAGTAGTTATAGCTTCTATACTGTGTAGTAAATAATCCTGATTTAAGATCTTTTTGCCTAACTAGTAACATAATATATAATTTATTTTTCTATAACTATATCTAGTATAAAGGTTTAATTACACCTATATGATCCTCTAGAAATAAACTGTTGACAAAGTCTGGGGCTGAGACTGGATCCAGCCATACCTAGACTCTGAGGAGTTTAGAAAGCAAAGGGGTCCTTTCTGCACCCTGTGACTCAGCAGGAGGGCTTCTCTCATAAACTTTGCCTGAAGCTCCCATTCTGTCTATGACCAATTCCCATTCTTCCTGTGACAACAGAAAAAATCTAAGATTCTGCGGTGACAGGATTTTTTTACTGACGCAAAACATTTCATTTCCAGTCAGGTCAATAAAAATATTAACCTGTCTTTCTCTACAGGCACCCTTTTGGGTTCCACAACATATTAACTATCCTCTTGGGAGGACAGCATGGCCACACAGTGTACTAAGGCTTAACTTGTGCCTCATTTGAGTGGTGGAGCAAAGGAATCACATGACAGATGTATTAGAAGACATGAAATTTAACCAAAAATCTGGTACCTGTATTAAAAGTCATTATACATTATGACTGAGAGGAGTTGGAAATCTTCAGAAAACACTGAGTTTCATTTATGTATTCTCTAATTCTTTTAAATTTTTACTGACTCAAAGGGAATTCAGTGTCTTGCCTTAGTTTGACAGAAAGGGGTGTTAGGATGTGGTCACTTCCTACAGTGACCACATTTCATTCAACTCTTTATTAATACTAAATGGTAATAATAATAATAATTCCTGTTACTTCTGTGCTCAGTACAAGATTGAAGGCAGGGCAATAAATAATACATGGAACCACACACTGAATTACATGGATTAGAAGAAAAATAGTTTTATATAAGCCCTTATTTAGATAGTGACACCCATCAACGGTACAGAATGGCAAAGGCAACCTATGGTAGAAACATATATTCTGTGTCATGGAAAGCCTAATCAAAATTCATGTAGACAAAAAAGTCAATTTTTTAATCCAT